GAGCAACAAACACACTGCAAGCACATGGGACGACAACGCACGTACTAACCAAGAATACCGCTGGACAATGTCGACCCCAGGGCTCCCACAACCATATGACTGCTGCAAACGCTACAGAACGCAATAAACGCTTAACAAATGCTAACAGACGGTCAAGACGCTAACAAACGCCTACAAAAACGCTACTGACCAGACTAGCTCCTAGTCGTTAACTATGTTAAATTCCATTTAACTATATTTATCTATGTTGAAACTAAGTTGGGAAACTATGTGTCAGCTTACTTGAATACGGTTCATTCCCAGATATAACCGCTGTAGGTTTTGAAGAGGCTCAAGGTTATTTAATTCTCTTATCCTGTAAAAAAACGAGAGAGTAAAATGAGTCGACACTTATTTAATATCGCATAGAAGGTTGAAATACTTTATCAAAAGGTATTTGAATAACATGACATATATTGCAGTGGAAAACATTGACAAGCACGGAGCATTAATTTATTTTCCTTTTGTTTCGTAAACTGAGCTGTTTTCAATATTTTTAAAGCAAGGAATAAACCAATCAAAAGCAATAACTATTTTCCCGCGCTTGCTACTGGGTGGCACGACGCGCCATTTTCCCGCTATAACCATCTTTTGAACTGGTATTTAGCAATCTCAAAAACTGTCAATATTATATACCTCACTGACTGTACATTGAAGATAATTTCCTAATTTGCAACAGCCAAAGAACAGTAATTTTACTTTGCTTGAGGAAAAGAATTCGAGTTTAGCTTTGGATCAACCTGGCGCTGGTATCGAATAGACATAGCTACGCATTTTTCGCATTTCGTCTTTGCTGGTACTGAGCATCAGAGAGCAAGATTATAAGACATTTAAAGTTTGAAATAATAACTAAACTGACTAACGTCCCACCTGTTTTCTTCCATATGTAATTCGGTTACGTTCCATTGACTAACAAATGATGTGCTGGAAATATTCTAGAAATAAATCAATAAAAAAAAATTGTTTATGAATGAACAAATCAACAAATGAAAGTGCATGATAGAACATATTTAAAATCAAGAACACAAGAAGAACTGAGGCTGTTTTCCCCTTTTTTTCACTTTCTCTCTTTTTCTGTCTGTTTGCTTGTGTTTTTTTTCCTTTTTAGTGTTTTTCCGTTGGTCGTAGTTGAAAAGTAAGGAAGCAGTGTAGCATAATTAAGCACGTTGTAGAGAAGTAAAATGTATCGTGTATGTAACTTATGTTTATGCAATTTATCT